AAAAACAATTTTTTAGATGCATGCCAGCAAAGCCACAACACTAAACAATACATTAATTGCACTATAACAATGACAAACCGTTCCCACAAACTGTTAGGGTCTACATATTGCTGTCCCAACAGCAGAACTTTCTTTTCAGCACCATGGAGTAAATCCTTTCCACCACTACACCTGGCTATCAGCGGAGCCTTGTCTGGCAGGGAAACAGTTAATTCAGCCTCATTTGCTGCCTTTTTTAAAAACATAGCTGATATGGCTGACTTGCTTAATGTGTTTAACAAATGTGGTTTCTACTGACAATTGAGACTATGGCATAAGGGAACGACGAGCGGATAAGAGGCAATCCGTAATTTCGATTAAGACATTAATGAGCGAGCTAGGATGGACGTAGTCAATATAACTACTTGTTCAGCACTTTTTAAATGTACAGCGGCAGAATTCAGAACATGGGCCATTCTTACAGTATTCTCCCTGAACACCAAGTCAGAACTGTAGGATAAATAAAGGGGGCATATAAGCAGACAATGAAAGCTCTTACAATATTCAATGATTACATTTCTCTAAAACAGGCTATAGGCTACATGTGCACCACCAAGTCAGAACAGTAGGCTAAGTTATGAGGGGGAAAGGGACCAAATTATTAGGGTGAGGCACATGGGCTACTAACAGCTTACTACACAACATACACTTTGTATTACTTTATTAGCTACAGTATACATATCTCCCTGGCATATTACATAATTTATGCAGCAGCATAAAATACATTTTTGTACTCAACTCGAGTTCCCAGTTGTCTTGAACTCACTGAAGTCTGAGATTTCCCAGTTATGAGTTTCCAGTTGTTTGAACGGGCAGAAGTCATGCTGGATTGACAGCATGGCCAATGTATTCAACCTTTTTCTGGCCCATGGTCTTGCATGTGAATGTTTATCCTTTTAAGCTTGGAAAAAAGACCCTTAAACCCAGACTTGGACCACATACCCAGTCCACTGAATAGTAGGCTAGTGATTGTCTTGCAATGCTTGCAGTTAGCCACTGATTCCTTCCAAACCGCTCATTGTTGAATTTGCGATTTCCAACTTGTTGTGTAATATTTATGTCCAATGGCCGATGAGTACCGATACGTTTTATCTATCATTTCTCTTCATATGACAAGGATTGAAAAGGATTTGCCAGTAGATTGTCGACTTGATTCATGATGACTGCTTGCTAGCTAAGATTGTGAAAGTATGATGTTGACATGATCAGTCCAATCAAAGCTACAAGTCTTCACAAGGTTTTCACACACTGTTGCTGGTATTTTGGCCCATTCCTCCATGCAGATCTCCTCTAGAGCAGTGATGTTTTGGGGCTGTCGATGGGCAACACGGACTTTCAACTCCCTCCAAAGATTTTCTATGGTGTTGAGATCTGGAGACTGGCTAGGCCACTCCAGGACCTTGAAATGCTTCTTACGAAGCCACTCCTTCGTTGCCCGGGCGGTGTGTTTGGGATCATTGTCATGCTGAAAGACCCAGCCACGTTTCATCTTCAATGCCCTTGCTGATGGAAGGAGGTTTTCACTCAAAATCTCACGATACATGGCCCCATTCATTCTTTCCTTTACACGGATCAGTCGTCCTGGTCCCTTTGCAGAAAAACAGCCCCAAAGCATGATGTTTCCACCCCCATGCTTCACAGTAGGTATGGTGTTCTTTGGATGCAACTCAGCATTCTTTGTCCTCCAAACACGACGAGTTGAGTTTTTACCAAAAAGTTATATTTTGGTTTCATCTGACCCTATGACATTCTCCCAATCCTCTTCTGGATCATCCAAATGCACTCTAGCAAACTTCAGACGGGCCTGGACATGTACTGGCTTAAGCAGGGGGACACGTCTGGCACTGCAGGATTTGAGTCCCTGGCGGCGTAGTGTGTTACTGATGGTAGGCTTAGTTACTTTGGTCCCATCTCTCTGCAGGTCATTCATTAGGTCCCCCCGTGTGGTTCTGGGATTTTTGCTCACCGTTCTTGTGATCATTTTGACCCCACGGGGTGAGATCTTGCGTGGAGCCCCAGATCGAGGGAGATTATCAGTGGTCTTGTATGTCTTCCATTTCCTAATAATTGCTCCCACAGTTGATTTCTTCAAACCAAGCTGCTTACCTATTGCAGATTCAGTCTTCCCAGCCTGGTGCAGGTCTACAATTTTGTTTCTGGTGTCCTTTGACATCTCTTTGGTCTTGGCCATAGTGGAGTTTGGAGTGTGACTGTTTGAGGTTGTGGACAGGTGTCTTTTATACTGATAACAAGTTCAAACAGGTGCCATTAATACAGGTAACGAGTGGAGGACAGATGAGCCTCTTAAAGAAGAAGTTACAGGTCTGTGAGAGCCAGAGATCTTGCTTGTTTCTAGGTGATCAAATACTTATTTTCCACCATAATTTGCAAATAAATTCATTAAAAATCCTACAATGTGATTTTCTGGATTTTTTTCCCTCATTTTGTCTGTCATAGTTGACGTGTACATATGATGAAAATTACAGGCCTCTCTCATCTTTTTAAGTGGGAGAACTTGCACAATTGGTGGCTGACCAAATACTTTTTTTCCCCACTGTAATGTGATTTGACGTCATTTTATCTGTGGCCAATGACCTTGAGCCTTCTTGGATGGGCAATTCTAATGTAAATCTATGGCAGCACCCAAGGGGCTTGAATTTTCGAGCTCTCCTTGTAGATGTTGCGGTGACGTAGTGTCCCCATGAGTGACAGAACACTGAGCCAATCACCGCGCAACTAGAGAACATTACCAACCCCTACGCTCCGTATTTTCAGCTGGCTGCCCCACCACCACAGAAAGCACTGAGCTAGGCTGAAACACCTGCATTTTGGAGCTGCCTTCCTCAAGAAAGCAAAAAGGAGACCATGTTTGTATGCGTCTTTATTAACTCAATGATTATTTAATTTTTTACATTGTTTGCAAACTGATATGTGACACGTATTAATGCCAAAATAACATGCAAAACAGGCCACACATTTATTTTATTTTAGCTAAACAGGTGGGGCTCTGCCTCAATGACTGTTCGCCACTGGGTATATTATTTGTGCATCTGTAACTTTCTCACTCATCATTATTCACGATTCATTCAGGACTATCCGTAATCATGTTACTTTGCGTTACATAGGGTGCCTTGCAATATATACCTTAAAAGAGCCAATAGTGTACCATATAAGTCCACAGGTACAAAACTGTACGTTTAGAAAATATACACTTTTAGGGTACCACCACAGTGATAAAGCCATCTGTTCCTTTTAAGTGGCAAAAATGTACCTCTTCTCTATATCAAGTCCCTCACGTGTACACAACTCTTTGCGAGACCCATTTTGACACCAATGGAGCAAATTCAGGGAGAAGCCCAGACCAGGACTCAAACCTGGGTCCTGCGATTGTCAAGCCAACACGCTAACCATTACGCCAAGAGGTCTTTACCTCTTGACAAGGTCACTCAGTGTTGCGGTCACTACAATATTAATTACAGCTCAATATGGGTCCAAAAATGTACCATTATACTACATTATCCGCACAGGTACACTAAAACGTAACAAACAGCACCATGTGAGATCATGTGTGTACCTCTGAAGGTACATTGTGTATATTGATATTTTGTACCCCAGGGAACAATACCCTAACCGTACCCTTTTTTCTGAGAGTGTAGTGTGTGTCTGCGTGTGTAAACATTGCCTGCTGACATTTGGACTGCAGTGACCAGAATGAATTGAAGGTTAAGTGTGTGTGAATGTGAATGCACACACACAGGTAATTTAATTGTGGTCTGTGTGGATCCACTAGGGGACAATGAGTATTTTCTCTCCTTTGGTACCTTATGTATCAGTAGAAAAACAAAATCTAGATCAGTGAAATTCATTTGGTCCTGTGCTTAAAAGGACATAGTGCATTATTAATAAAAACACACTATAATTCAAATGGGCTTTGACAGTAGTGAAAATAGCCATGACTCAGTGAGAGCTGTATGTACATTCAAAACTTTATTTATGGAATAGTGTAGAAAGCGTTTTTTCCAGTCAAAGCAAATGGCTTGCACAATTACACACAGTGGAAATAAAGCCACAGAGAAAGAAAAAGAAACCCTGCTCTCTCTAACTCTATACTGCCTTATTCTGGCTATAGTGAGGTAATGCACCCTCTGAAAACCCAAGCAAAGGACTGACCCACCTGCAGCAGTGTGTGATGCACACAGCTCTACACACCACCAAAACACTGCCTTACCTCCTCTAGTACTGTGTCGCAAAATGGCACCCTATCCCCGGCCTATATTTTGCACTACTCCTCACTGAAACTGTAGTCCATCCAATGACTTGCTTTATAGGCCATGGTAGAGGTCGTCGTATGGCTGGCTCTAGACAAGTGCTTGAGAGAGGTGAGTAGCATGCCTGAAATAGGGGAAAGAGGGGAGGAGGGGGTTGTAAATTCATTTTACTGACTGCCTGTGACTATCCATCTGGAACAGCTAGTAATTCCCTCTACCTCTTCCTCATTCCTTCTCTCCATCTTTCACATGCACACCCCCCTGCACTGATCATGTTCTGTTTCTAGTCTCAACAGCGAGAGAAAGAGAGAAGGATGAGCCGAAGGAAGAAAGGAACAGATTGGGAAGAGTAAGTAAGCCCAAAATGGTATTGGATTGTTCTTATATATCACAAAAAATTTACAGAGAAGAGCGTTGTTTATTTCTGCGGAAACATAGAACCGGAACAAAAACGCTAACTAGACTGGAGAACACACAGAATCATCCACCCCCCTCCCTCGTCCGGAACCGGCCTTCCCGCCACATACCCCTATCTTTAAAAAACACACGACAACATGAAATCAAAAAAAAGAAATCAACAATTAAATAGGACTGATTCCTAAAGTCTGCAAACGCAATAGGATGCCAACGCAATAAACTAAAGATAATAATCACAATTATATAATAATAATAATAATAATAATAATAATAATATACACATACGGATCAAGCCAGCCCCCCGCAGTTTTAGGAACATAGCATGGTTGAAATAAAAAAAGAAGAAACTTTTAAATTCAAAAAGCACAGATCTCTCTTACAGTGTATTTAACATGATATCCAAGCAGAGAGCCCATTCACCGAGATTCATATATATTTTTTATCCAATGTCATTTAAGTCACGTGATCACGAGAAAGATACTAAATGTATAATCCTGCTAGAATGATAGTCTCTACGTGAGAATCTCTGGAGACTCAAAGATCTTTTTTATTTTCAATAATAACCCCGTCGTAATTTTTGTCATCATGCACTAAACAGGAACAGCTACTTCGTTACATTACACACAATTTAAAAAAGGACTTGTTTTTTTCTCTTTACATATGTTTTTTTTTATTTGATTTTAATTTATTTTTTGAAAAACTAAACCGGAAACGATAGAATAACTAAAATAAAGAGCTCATTCAGAGTACATCATCATCATTATCATCATTCTAGCCTTGTGTGACCTAACGCAGCACAGCTGTCATAAGAATGCACAGAGAAGGAAAGAGGGAGGAAGGAAGAATAGATGGAGAGGAGGAGAGGAGGCTTCATTGACCCATAGACCTCACCTATTCCCCAGTGTATAGAGAGAATGCAGTAGTGTAGGGTTGGGGACAGTGTGGCTGGCAATACAGCCAGAGAATGCCCCCTTAAATAACACTGGTCTGGAGTCAGATCTCCCTACCCAAGTCCATACCTCAACTCATTCCAAGTCAAAAACTAAAAACTGACTCTGGACCAGTGTTGAAGGGGACAGTCTCCATCTACACCAGGAGTGATAGTGGTGCCTGGTTCCAACCTGCACTGCTTGAGGGTAGGATAGGGTTGGTTTGGGGTGGGGATAGGGTTAAGGGCGTGGGGGTGTGGAGGGTTAGAGGGGTTGGGTAGTGGTCAAGAGGGGTTTGTCATTCCTCAGTTCTGCATCTGCTCAAAAAACTTGTAGGTGGGGTTCTCATAGCCGTTCTGCTGCATCTTGGACAGGTGGCGCTCCTCAGGGGTGACTGCTGCATCCACCTGGAGAACAGAGAGAGATGTGTTACACACAAAAATAAGGTATGTCCTCGTACACCGGGGTGTCAAAGTCATTCCACGGAGGGCCGAGTGTCTGCAGGTTTTAGTTTTTTCCTTTCAATTAAGACCTAGACAACCAGGTGAGGGGAGTTCCTTAATAATTAGTGACTTTAATTCATCAATCCAGAACAAGGGGGGAGCGAAAACCCACAGACACTCGTCCCTCAGTGGAATGAGTTTGACACGTGTCGTACACTATTCTGGTTCTTTTTTTGTTGTTGAACGAATGGGGGCGGTTCCCACTCCTTACATGTTTACTGATAGACAGTGGGACGGATTCGTACCCATGCCGACACGGTACATGTACATTGTTTAGATAGAAGTCTTAAACAAACTCATAAACAATAGAAATAGAGACAAAGGAAACACTGAGCCAAAGTCAATAACACACATAGCATATATTTTACTATCCTTGTGGCGACCTAAAATTGATTTCCATTCAAAATCCTATTTTCCTAACCATAAACCTAACCCTACCTCCTAACCCTAAATTCTAATCCCCTTTTGTAACCCTAAATCTAACCCCTAAGCCTAAAATAGCCTTTGTCCTCGTAGGAGAATTTCCCTTGTTTCACTATCCTTGTGGGGATGTTTTGGGGATTTCCGGTACCCACTAGCATAGTAATACAAGCCCACACACACATCTCCTCTACCCCTCACCTCGATGACTCCGTGGTGGATGGACGTGTACTGCTTCTTCCTCAGCATCACCAGGGTGATGACGATGACGGTCGCTATGACGACGCCTCCCACCATCAGCCCGATGATGGCGCCCTTGTTAGAGCCGACATCCTCGGCGAAGAACACCTAGAGAGAGGAGAGAGAGACAGAGGGAGAGGGAAAGAGAGAGGGACTGTAAATCACAATGCACAACCAATCACAAACACTGACTGGATTTAAGGAGGCAGATCTGGGGTCAGGAGTACAAGGCATTAAGGTGAAATTAAGTTGGAGTAGGAATGGGGCTGAATACAAAAGACATGATTTGTAATCTAACGTTAGGACTACTGTTTAGGTGTTAAAGAGGCCGCGGTAAAGTTGAGGGGGTTTGGGATTAAGGTTCAGAGTTACATTATCGAGGGATTTTAGAGGTAAGCTTAAAGCTATGTTATGATATGTTATACAAGATGAATGTTACATAATAATAGTTTCCTTATTTAATGAGGAAAATTACTAAATGTATAAGAGATTTAATTGGGCACCAATTATTGTGTGTGTGGTGTGTGTTGTGTTTTCAATTCCAGACAGTGTTCATCTGAGGACAATTATAAATTAGTGCTGGTGTGAAACTAACATCCTGGCATCAGACGCCAGTTACCAACCCTGGTCGTCTCGGCAGGCCTTGGTTACCATGGCATTAGTAAGTTGGCCACAAGGACACGGTCAGCCAATACATATGGATAGACATATGGATATACCCATATGGGTATGGATTCGGTCATGGATATGTCTGGGATAACTCCAGGATGCTTGTATCTGTGGCCAAATGTACAAAATGGAGTGGTGTGTGTACCAGCTTTGGTGGTATGTGTATGTGTGTGCGTGTAGATACCAGTTTCTGGTGGTGCACTTCGAATCCGGTGCTGTGCCTCTCCTCTGCCTCCATCCTGAGCTCAGGGATCTCCTCTGGCTTCAGACCAGACACTGGTCGTGTTGGAAAACCTCTATCAGGAATAGGGCGGGCATCCACATGCTCGACTAGGGAGAGAGAAAGTGAAAAGGGAGGATGAGTATCTTCTTAACATAGTTTCGCTTTGATGTCATCCCTTTCAAGACCCTGACAGCTGTCTACAATCAGTTATGGATTCGGTACATTTAATGTGTAGTTATGTTTATAACATGGTGGTATGTATAGTCCACCTACCCTGGTTCTGTCTGTTCTCACCCTGATTCTGGGTGTATACTCTGGTAGTCTGTACTATACCTACCCTGATTCTGGGTGTATTGATCATAGCTTTAGGCACACCTACCCTGGTTATCGGTGTTGACCTGGTTGAAGCTCTCGGGGTGGATGAAGCCCAGTCCGTCCAGACCCATGCCCAGGTCCAGGCTCTCTTCCTGGGGCAGCAGGTCCAGGGTGGCCCTGGTGCTGTCTGGAAGACTGTCGGGCATCAGGGCGTCGTTGCCGTAGCTCACCCGCACGTCACTCTGCAGGTTGGACAGCTGCTGGGCCATCTCTTCCTGCTCCTTCTGCAGCAACTCTGGAGAGAGGGAAGGAGAGAGGGAGGGGAGGAGGAGATGGAGAAGAAAAAGGTGGGGAAAGAGGGGAATGACAGATAAAGAAAAAAGGTGTGGGGGAGAGAGGGAGGGGAAAAGATGGAGGAAGAGAATAAGGTGGGAGAAAGGAGAGGAAATAGAAACGGGGGGAGAGGGTGAAGGACAGCAGCAGAGAGAGAGATGATAAGAATAGAAAGGGGAGGATGGAAGGTGTAAGAAACAAGGAGAAACAAGGGTAGAGAGGGAGAAAAGGAGAGAAAACGTCAACGCTGTTGCAGTGGAGTGGGAAATGACTAACTGAACAGTTACCATTATTTATTAGTACATACAAAGACAAGACAACAATAAAATAGGATCACTAGAATATGGATGCGTCCCAAATAGCACCCTATTTCCTATATACAGTGGCTTGCGAAAGTATTCACACCCCTTGGCATTTTTCCTATTTTGTTGCCTTACAACCTGGAATTAAAATGGATTTTTTGGGGGTTTGTATCATTTGATTTAAACAACATGCCTACCACTTTGAAGATGCAAAATATTTTTTTGTTGTTGAAACAAACAAGAAATAAGACAAAAAAACAGAACACTTGAGCATGCATAACTATTCACCCCCCCAAAGTCAATACTTTGTAGAGACACCTTTTGCAGCAATTACAGCTGCAAGTCTCTTGGGGTATGTCTCTATAAGCTTGGCACATCTAGCCACTGGGATTTTTGCCCATTCTTCAAGGCAAAACTGCTCCAGCTACTTCAAGTTGGATGGGTTTCGCTGGTGTACAGCAATCTTTAAGTCATACCACAGATTCTCAATTGGATTGAGGTCTGGGCTTTGACTAGGCCATTCCAAGACATTTAAATGTTTCCCCTTAAACCACTCGAGTGTTGCTTTAGCAGTATGCTTAGGGTCATTGTCCTGCTGGAAGGTGAACCTCCGTCCCAGTCTCAAATCTCTGGAAGACTGAAACAGGTTTCCCTTAAGAATTTCCCTGTATTTAGCGCCATCCATCATTCCTTCAGTTCTGACCAGTTTCCCAGTCCCTGCCGATGGAAAAACATCCCCACAGCATGATGCTGCCACCACCATGCTTCACTGTGGGGATGGTGTTCTCGGGGTGATGAGAGGTGTTGGGTTTGCGCCAGACATAGCGTTTTCCTTGATGGCCAAAAAGCTCAATTTTAGTCTCATCTGATCAGAGTACCTTCTTCCATATATTTGGGGAGTCTCCCACATGCCTTTTGGCGAACACCAAATGTGTTTGCTTATGTTTTTATTTGAGCAATGGCTTTTTTCTGGCCACTCTTCCGTAAAGCCCAGCTCTGTGGAGTATACAGCTTAAAGTGGTCCTATGGACAGAGCTTTGCAGCTCCTTCAGGGTTATCTTTGGTCTCTTTGTTGTCTCTCTGATTAATGCCCTCCTTGCCTGGTCTGTGAGTTTTGGTGGGTGGCCCTCTCTTGGCAGGTTTGTTGTGGTGCCATATTCTTTCCATTTTTTTAATAATGGATTTAAATGGTGCTCCATGGGATGTTCAAAGTTTCGGATATTTCTTTATAACCCAACCCTGATCTGTACTTCGCCACAACTTTGTCCCTGACCTGTTTGGAGAGCTCCTTGGTCTTCATGGTGCCGCTTGCTTGGTGGTGCCCCTTGCTTAGTGGTGTTGCAGACTCTGGGGCCTTTCAGAACAGGTGTATATATACACTGAGATCATGTGACAGATCATGTGACACTTAGATTGCACACAGGTGGACTTTATTTAACTAATTCTGTGACTTCTGAAGGTAATTGGTTGCACCAGATCTTATTTAGGGGCTTCATAGCAAAGGGGGTGAATACATATGCACGCACCACTTTTCCGTTATACATTTTTTTGAATTTTTTGAAACCAGTTTTTTTTTTCATTCCACTTCACCAATTTGGACTATTTTGTGTATGTCCATTACATGAAATCCAAATAAAAATCCATTTAAATTACAGGTTGTAATGGAACAAAATAGGAACAACGCCAAGGGGGATGAATACGTTTGCAAGGCCCTGGTCCAAAGTAGTACGCTATAAAGGGAAAATGGTGCCATTTGGGACGCACACTATGTGTGAGAGGCCAAAAAGGTAATATGGCCAATGCCATTACATTCCAAAGGAGTGTGTAACGCGTATTGACTTAAAGTGTGCGTCCCAAATGTCACCCTATTCCCTATATAGTGCACTGCTTTTGACTAGGGCCCATAGCATGCACTTCACTTTGAAACACAAGGTCGCTCTCTGTTCTCATTTGTTTTAAATACAGGAGAAAAGCAAACCAATGTCTGTGTTGCTGGGAGGCGGTGTGTGTGTGTGCACAGAGGGCAGGGGAGCAGCCTGAGAGGAGGGGAAACTAGACAGAGTCTGAGATTGACTCAGACACAGATGGCTCGGTGACGCACACAACTCAAGACCCAGACAAACACAGACAGAGTGAGGGAGGGAGTGGGAAGGAGAAGGAGAAGGGAGGGAGAGGTTATAATTATTGATTTGATGGAGGAGAGAATTGAGGGATGTCATGATGTTACAGTGGGGAGAACAAGTATTTGATACACTGCCGATTTTGCAGGTTTTCCTACATACAAAGCATGTAGAGGTCTGTAATTTTTATCATAGGTACACTTCAACTGTGAGAGACGGATTCTAAAAAAATAATGATTTTTAAGTAATGAATTTGCATTTTATTGCATGACATAAGTATTTGATCACCTACCAACCAGTAAGAATTCCAGCTCTCAGACCTGTTCATTTTTCTTTAAGAAGCCCTCCTGTTCTCCACTCATTACCTGTATTAACTGCACCTGTTTGAACTCGTTACCTGTATAAAAGACACCTGTCCACACACTCAATCAAACAGACTCCAACCTCTCCACAATGGCCAAGACCAGAGAGCTGTGTAAGGACATCAGGGATACAATTGTAGACCTGCACAAGGCTGGGATGGGCTACAGGACAATAGGCAAACAGCTTGGTGAGAAGGCAACAACTGTTGGCGCAATTATTAGAAAATGGAAGAAGTTCAAGATGACGGTCAATCACCCTCGGTCTGGGGCTCCATGCAAGATCTCACCTCATGGGGCATCAATGATCATGAGGAAGGTGAGGGATCAGCCCAGAAATACACGGCAGGACCTGGTCAATGACCTGAAGAGAGCTGGGACCACAGTCTCAAAGAAAACCATTAGTAACACACTACGCCGTCATGGATTAAAATCCTGCAGCGCACGCAAGGTCCCCCTGCTCAAGCCAGCGCATATCCAGGCCCGTAAGAAGTTTGCCAATGACCATCTGGATGATCCAGAGGAGGAATGGGAGAAGGTCATGTGGTCTGATGAGACAAGAATATAACTTTTTGGTCTAAACTCCACTCGCCGTGTTTGGAGGAAGAAGAAGGATGAGTACAACCCCAAGAACACCATCCCAACCGTGAAGCATGGAGGTGGAAACATCATTCTTTGGGGATGCTTTTCTGCAAAGGGGACAGGACGACTGCACCGTATTGAGGGGAGGATGGATGTATCGCGAGATCTTGGCCAACAACCTCCTTCCCTCAGTAAGAGCATTGAAGATGGGTCGTGGCTGGGTCTTCCAGCATGACAACGACCCGAAACACACAGCCAGGGCAACTAAGGAGTGGCTCCGTAAGAAGCATCTCAAGGTCCTGGAGTGGCCTAGCCAGTCTCCAGACCTGAACCCAATAGAACATTTTGGAGGGAGCTGAAAGTCCGTATTGCCCAGCGACAGATCTGGAGAAGGTCTGTATGGAGGAGTGGGCCAAAATCCCTGCTGCAGTGTGTGCAAACCTGGTCAAGACCTACAGGAAACGTATGATCTCTTTAATTGCAAACAAAGGTTTCTGTACCAAATATTAAGTTATGCTTTTCTGATGTATCAAATACTTATGTCATGCAATAAAATGCAAATTATTAACTTAAAAATCATACAATGTGATTTTCTGGATTTTTGTTTTAGATTCCGTCTCTCACAGTTGAAGTGTACCTATGATAAAAATTACAGAGCTCTACATGCTTTGTAAGTAGGAAAACCTGCAAAATCGGCAGTGTATCAAATACTTGTTCTCCCCACTGTATATGATTATCTGTATCATGAATGACAGTAAAAGTGGATGAGGGTTTTGTGGATATAAACTATGGATAGTGCTTGGTGACAGTGTGGATGAGGGAAGGTTACTGGTTCATATCAGTTAATGCTTGCACACAGACCTGGTCAACCTTTACCTGCTTAATTAAAGGAGAGATGAGACTGAAAATAACACTCACCAACTTGGTCCTGGATGTCGTCGGCCACTCCCGGCACCTTGTAGAGCAGACCCAGGGACTGGTTCATCCTCTCCTCAATCACACGCAGGTGGGTCAGTACCTACAAGTACATTTGAATGCTATTTAATACAAGCTATCTTCTGTGAGCCATACACTGTACATGTCAGGAGGTTACCAAAATACCCTTCAGAGGTGTATTGGTGTTTGTGCGTGTGAGCATGTTTGGGCTTGGTGGTGGATGAGAAATGTTGTTTCTAGGTTTATTCTTTTATTTGGTACAAATGGCAAATATTTGGTTGTTTCTGCACTGGAGAGGAGTAGAAGGCACTCAACCAACGTGAGACGAGGTGCATACAAAAAGTAATAAGAGCATCAATAAATATCATTATTTATCTAATTCGTTCAAATCAAATTGTTTCGACCTTCAATGGCCTTCATGAGAATGACAACAAAATCACGGTCACCACGTAAAACACATTAAAATGTGGGCTTAGTGGGCTTATTACCTGGGGTCGGATCTGTGCGGCCTTCTTGGGGTCGACCATGCGGACGTGCTCAAAGTGTTTAAGGGTGTGCTGTCTGTCCTTCTGTTCTGCACGGACATACTTCTTCAATAGGCTGAACACATGACGAGGCTAGAGAGAAAGAGGGGGGGGGGGGGGGGGGGGTAGAGGGAGAGAGAGAAGAAGAAAGGGAAAAAAGGGAGAGAGCGAGAGAGAGTCAGAACGTCGGTCTGTGTGTGGGAGGAGTAGGACTATGGTAGGATGATCCATATGTACTGTATGTGTCTGTATATGTCTGCATAGTGTGTATGTGTCCCTACCCTGGGTGGCTGGGCCTGCAGGGCGGTTAGGTGGCTCTACAGGGCCAGGCAACAATGTGTGTATGTCTGTACTCTCTACCTGTGTGTGTGTGTGTGTGTGTGTGTGTGTGTGTGTGTGTGTACTCTCTACCTGTGTGTGTGTTATACTCTGTTACTATGTACTCTCTATCTACCCTGGGTGGTTCGGCCTGCAGGGAGGTCAGGTAGCTCTCCAGGGCCAGGCGGCGGCGGTCATTGAGCAGGGCCTCGACCCGGGCCATGTGGGTCTCAACCAGCTGCTGCCTCTCACTGGCTGCCTCCTGCTCCAGGGCCTCAACCTTCTCCTGGAAACGCTGTGTGATACACACACACACATTATTATACTATGCAACATGACACACAAATGTAATACACATGATACATTCATGATAAGACACACTTATATACAGTATATGATACACACACAAATTAAATTATAGACAGAGTCCCTACCACCACGCTATTTTCAAATATTCAGCTCCTACACTCAAGACACACACCTATGACATTGACAGTCGCTGATTTAGCATTTATTAATATGTTTGAGTATCCTTTGTGTCTGACCTGGATGACAGCCTTCTTATCAGCACGAGGTAGACTCTTGGCCTCCCTCTCTGCCTCCTCCCACTCCCTCATCACCTACAAGAAGAAAGACAGGTTACTGCTGTATCTAACCCCTTCCCCTCCCTACCCTTCCTTCCCTGTGGCTACGTTCATACATGGTATTTTCACCTCAACAGTGTCTTTGCTTCCTTCTCTCTCCACCCTCCCCAACCTCACCCCTTCTCCATCCTCCCTCCCGCCTTCCACTCTCAACACCTCTCTTTATCTCTCCTTCCCTCCCCCCTCCCTCTTCTTCACCCCTCCCTCCCCATTCTTCACCCATCCCTCCCCCTTCCACTCTCAACCCCTCTCTTCCTCTCTCCCCCCCCTCCGTCCCCTTTGCCCCTCCCTTCTCTGCCCTTCTCTCTTCCTCTCTCCTACCTGGGACATCCTCTCGCGGTGTTTGGCCTCCAGACTCTCCTTGGCCTTGGCAAAGTGGGCGTGTTCGTTGTCATCCCCGGGCGTCTCCAGGTAACGGTCCACGGCATCGGGAGGGCTGGGGGTGGCGGTGGGCACTGGGTGGTGGAGGGGGGAGAGATGGGGATGAGATGGAGAGAAATTGAGAAAATTACTCTTACAATCTGGTCTTCAGATAACCCCATCTTTCCTTCACCTCCCCCGCATCCCTTTTTCTATGTTTCTTCTTACATTGCTTTCCTCCTCAAAATCCAGACCATTTTATCCAGAGTGACTTACGATAAGTGCTTTCAGATTATTTGATTTGATTGAAATAAGGATCCGGAGGCAGTAATATAACACCAATAAACAAAGTAAAAAGACAGAAGATCCAAACTACCAACACCATGTAGCAGGTCCATAACAGCAGACACTAAAGCGAGATGATTAATAATATTAGTGTTAGTAACAACAGGTTGGTTAGTGATTCATCGAGTGAGTGAACGAGAGTAAACAATACAGACAGAGTGAAAAAGCAGAGAAGTGTGCGTTTGAAGGGTGGCTGGTGTCTCTGTGTGTGTGTGTCCTGGTTGGAGGATTCCAGATTTCCTGCTTATTCCCTCCTGATTCCAGGAATCTTCCAACTGTGAATTCTGCAAAACCTTGGTATTTTGGTTACCAGAATATAAGTTACCAGAATTCTTTCAACATAGTCTCTTCCATTAATGCGACTGCCATAGACACTCCAAGTCATTTAGATGTTTGATTAGAAGCCTCTCTAGAATAGAGTTACTTTATCAATTCCCCCATTTATTCTACTACAGAATAACCTACTAAAAAGCTGTTATGCCTTAAGGCTGGGATACCTTGCATGACCTGTATCTATCGGTTTGACATTAAAAAGTAAATCGCTTTCATTTATGTAATATTCTGAGCGTAATGAGGTTGTAAAATATCCTCCGGCTAAAGTGTGTGTGTGTGTGTGTGTGTGTATGTTATGTATATCACATTACGTGACATACTGTATTTATCATCATCAGAGTCCTTGATTAAACATGATTAAACACTGAACTGCATACATTTATTATTTCTTACATGAATACATAAATGAATAAGGAAGCGTTGCTGTGATACTTTGGAACCTGTGTGTGTGTCATGTGAAGCTTGTTTTTTGTTATAGTTTGTCTCAGAGATTAGCACGACTTAATTTCACAGACACTCAATAGTCCCAAAACAACCAAGAGCATTTTGTGATCCGAACAAAGCAGAACCATTAATACAATTCTAACTTGGACTCTGCTCTGGGTCCGGTCTATGTGGTCATGATGTAATTAATTGATACGGTCAAACAAGCTAAGCCTAAACAAGGGAGTCCTATCTTTAGTTCTGACCGCAGTGTGACCCCTTGGCTTTGACCCCACTGTGACCGCTTGTTGATCATGCAGTAACCGCTAAATGACCGTGTGAAAGGTGAGGGTGCGAGGCGTATTGGACACAGAGGGTTGCTAGTTGGTGTAAACACAAGCTGTAGTCTCGTTCCCATACTACAGAACTGTCTTTCACAGCTCTGCTCAACCAAGTAGAAATCTCACACACGCTCGCACACACACACACAGAATTTCAGAGGCTGCTACAGAGGAGGTGAGATGGAGTGAAAGACAGGATTAGTGAGAGAAAGAGGGAGTGTGAGAGAGAAGACACTGTATACAGAAAGAAAGTAGGGGGAGGGAGGGAGGGAGCGAGAGTGAACCATCGATGGTTGGATCATATGCTCTCGTTCACACACACACGACTGTCAGTTCACTGCCTCACACAACACTCAAATTAGTGTGAGAGAGAAACATTTGCCTTCCCTATCTGGCACGCGCACACACACACACACACACAGGTGTTCGCTCATACGGAATCAGTGGAAAAACAGGTGAAATCACTCGTTTTAGTGTCTTCTAAAACCCACAAACAGGTTAAAGGATAAGTGTGTGTGTGAATGTATTCGTCCATGTGTACAGTAAACTAGGGGTGGGCGGTATCTAGATTTTCATAGTCATACCGTTTCTGTACCATACCGGGGTATATGGTATTACCGAATATGCACACAAGGGGCGCTATTTAAAAAAAAAAGAAAGCAACACACAAAACAATTTAGGTAACAGGGATTTTTATCCAGGAGGGGATTGAATGTCTCTGCTGTAACCAAGAAGCTTGATCTTGACATCTAGCCCCTTATCCAGCAAGTTAGCAAACCGGATAACATTTGACACATCTTAGATTTGTTATATTTACACTTAACTTAAGCAAAAAGTATATACATGTATTATTTTTAACGGTATTGAAAAACATACCGTCTGTATTTCGAAATACCCCGGTATACGGTATATCGCCCAAGCCTACAGTAAACACACAACGAGTGGTGGTTAGTGAGACCAGAGTGGTTAGCAAGCATGGTTAACGGCTAGCGGACATGGTTAGTGTAGTTAGCACCAAGGTAGCAAGACGGCTAGGGCCATTTGCTAGCCAGACGGTTAACCAGACACTAGCTAGCAGACGTGGACACTTAACAGTGCTACACGCAGACAGACAGTTAGGCAGGATGCTATGCTGTCCGTGTGACTGACTTACTGAATATGCTGCAGACAGACAGGCAGTACAACAAGGGGTAGTTAAGTGAGACCACAGGTTAGCGCGAACTAGCGTGGTAAAGAGCTAGCTAGTCAGACGGTTAGCAAAACGGTAACTAGCCGGCATGGACACTACACGCAGACAGACAGGTAGTCTGTGTGACTGACTTACTAACAGTGCAGCAGACAGACAGGCAGTACAAGTGGTGGTTAGTGAGACCAGAGGTTAGCATGTAGCGTGAAGTAGTATTAGCGTGGTTAGCATCTAGCTAGCCAGAGGGCTAACGACAGAGGCTAGCTTTCAGACGTGGACACGCAGACAGACAGGTAGACAGGACGCTGTCTGTGTGACTGACTTACTGACGGTGCTGCAGACAGACAGGCAGTACTCCTCCGACTCAAAGTTATTGCGGTTGCCCCCGCAGCCGCCATAGATGAACTGGGCACAGCGGCCCTCCTCGCGGACAAAGTACCAGCGTGCAAGCATGGCACGGCATGGGCCCGTCTCCGCATTCGCCCAACACACCTCTGGTGGGGGGGGACGATGAGCCGTCAGCACACACACACACACACATAGGGTGAGTCCCAAATGGCACCCGGCCTATTCCCTACATAGGGATCTGGTCAAAAGTAGTGCACGATGGGCCCTGGTCAAAAAGTAGTGGACTATATAGGGAATAGGGTGCCATTTGGAACACATACTTATAATCGTACAGGCGTGAGCATTCCAATGGTGTGTGAACTTACACACACACACTACTGTAATGTCATACACTCGGGTGAAATATGGGGGGCAAAGACTCCAGCCACCCTAGTCATAGACTGTTCTCTCTGCTACCGCACGGCAAGCAGTACCGGAGTGCCAAGTCTAGGTCCAAAAGACTTCTCAACAGCTTCTACCCCCAAGCCATAAGACTCCTGAACAGCTAATCATGGCTACCCGGACTATTTGCATTGTTTAATTAAAACTGCATTGTTGGTTAAGGGCTTGTAAGTAAGCATTTCACTGTAAATGAATGGTGGGGATGGAGATTTAGCTGAATTCCTACTGATTTACAGTGGTGAGTTTCTAGATTGGCTTCCCCCCCCCCCCAATTCCACCCCTGCATACACTCACTCAACCTTTAAATAGACAAGCAGAGTAAATGCACAGTAAATGATGTACACACACACCCACATGTACACACACATGGCCCCTGGTCCTCCCAGTCCCTCTCACCTCTGACCACTTCCTCCACAGACTCGGTGGTAGTAGTAGTGGTGGTGGTGGTAGTCATGGCGATGTTGGTGGTGGGTTCGCTATCGTCGCGCTCGTCAATGACGTCATCATCCTCCTCGTCCTCGTCCCCGTCTCCATCCTGGTCATTATCCACCACCTCCTGCTCCTCCTCCTCTTCCTCTTCCACATCCTCATCATCTTCCTCTACCAAGGCAGGGGCTGTCTCCTCTGTCTCCTCCTCCTCTTCCTCCTGTTGTTGCTGCTGGGGCGCGGATCCAGCTAGCTCTACAGCCCCCCTGGCCATACTGAGAGAGGGAGGGAGGGAGGGAGGTGGAGTGAGGGAGGGAGGGAGGGAGTGAGGGATAGTGAGGATGTGTGTGAGTAATGTTGTTATGAGTGCGTGTACTGTATGTGTGTGAGTGCTAGTATAAGTATAATCTTGTTCCCAGACACTTCCGCCCAAATGGGCAAAGAGTCTGGTGGACCAGCGCGTCAAACATGGCCGTCGTTAGCCAATACAGAAAGACCGGTAGGCATTGGCTTAATCGGCTTAATCTACCAACCAATCATCTCCCACAACACCTTCCCCCTAGCCCTCCCCGTATGTGTCTTGGCGCACCTCAGTTTACGTTCCGCCTCGCAGTCGTGTGATTCGATAAAAAAAAAAAGATAAATACTTTACTCACTCCCATAGAATTCTATGGTCTCTCCCACTAAGGCCAACTTTGAATCGTTGATATCCCAGGCTGATATGCACTGTGCACAATAGCCTGAGGACGAGGTTAGTATAAGTATGAATCTAAGTGAGTACTGTATGAGCTCCTGTGTGTGGGTGTGTACCTGTTGTCAGTGTAGTCAGTCTCGGCTCCTCCCCACCACACGTCTGAGTCATCCTCGTCCTGCTCAGTGCTGTCGGTCTCCCTGTCTGACGGACAGCACACAAACTCCACCCCCCGGAAACGGTCGATGCCGCACGGCAACAGCATCCCGTAGTCGTGGAGATTCAAGGTGCGGTCTCCGCAGGACTGGGTGAGAGAGGGATGGGGCAGTTAAATCAAGGGCTGCATGTATCAAGAGTAGGAGTGCTGATCTAGGATCAGTTCCCCCCTGTCCATGTCATTCTATTCATGGTGATCTAAAAGGCTAAACTGATCCTAAATCAGCACTCCTACTCTGACATAATTGATCCAGGTTTTGTTTATTATACACTACATGACCAAAAGTAAGTGGACACCTGCTCGTCGAAAATCTCATTCCAAAATCATGGGCATTAATATGGAGTTGGTCCCCCCTTTGCTGCTTTAACAGCCTCCACTCTTCTGGGAAGGCTTTCCACTAGATGTTGGAACATTGCTGCGGGGACTTGCTTCCATTCAGCCACAACAGCATTAGTGAGGTCGGGCTCACAGTCAACGTTCCAATTCATCCCAAAGGTGTTCGATGGGGTTGAGGTCAGGGCTCTATGCAGGCAAGTCAAGTTCTTCCACGCCTATCTCGACAAACCATTTCTGTATGGACCTCGCTTTGTGCACGGGGGCATTGTCATGCTGAAACAGGAAAGGGCCTTCCCCAAACTGTTGCCACAAAGTTGGAAGCACAGAATCGTCTAGAACTAAGTGGCCTAGCCCGAACCATGAAAAACAGCCACAGACCATTATTCCTCCTCCACCAAACTTTACAGTTGGTACTATGTATTGGGGCAGGTAGCGTTCTCCTGGCATCCGCCAAACCCAGATTCGTCCGTTGGGCTGCCAGATGGTGCAGCTTGATTCATTACTCAAGAGAACGTGTTTCCACTGCTCCAGAGTCCAATGGCGGCGAGCTTTACACCACTCCAGCCAACGCTTGGCATTGCGCATGGTGATCTTAGGCTTATGTGCGGCTGCTTGGCCATGGAAACCCATTTCATGAAGCTCCTGACGAACAGTTGTTGTGCTGACATTGCTTCCAAAGGCAGTTTGGAACTCGGTAGTGAGTGTTGCAACCAAGGACAGATGATTTTTACGCGCAATGCGCTTCAGCACTCGGCGGTCCTGTTCTGCGAGCTTGTGTGGCCTACAACTTCGCGGCTGAGCCATTGTTGCTCCTAGACGTTTCCACTTCACAATAACAGCACTTATAGTTGACCGGGGCAGCTCTAGCAGGGCAGAAATTTGACAAACTGACTTGTTGGAAAGGTGGCATCCTATGACGGTGCCACGTTGAAAGTCACTGACCTCTTCATTAAGGCCATTCTAAGGCCAATGTTTGTCTATGGAGATTGCATGCCTGTATGCTCAATTTTATACACCTGTCAGCAACGACTGTGGCTGAACTAGCCGAATCCACTAATTGAATGGGGTTTCCACATACTTTTGTATATATAGTGTATTACTATACAATCATTTCATAGATTTGTTGTTTTATGCACTTTAGGGTGGGTGTATATGGTGGATAGTATATGGCCTACATGAACTAGTAAGTACTCAAGATGTATCCAACTAAGATAGATAAAGTTAAGAAAACGTTGTCTTACAGGGTAAAATAATAAAAACAGACATACACAGAGGGTCAACACTTTTGGGTGCGCCCCTGCCCCTCCTGCGGATGGAGTGGCATTCTGTAAAATATGTAGCATGTATATGTGTGTGCGTGGTCTCACCTCTTTGGCCACGGTGTGCCAGTGCAGGTGGCTCTCACACATGTCCATGCGCTCCTGGTGCAGGAACTTGCACTTATCAGGAACCAGCAGGGCATCACTGACAAACTCCCCCACTGCAACATACACAGACAGAGCCAATTAATACACAGACATAAGAACAAATAAAAAACAACAGCCAACAACAAAATAACCACTTTTTACTAATTCAAATAGGACAAAAGCACACATACATTTCATCTCCATACACACACACACACACACACACACACACGTGTGAACCGTCGACCCCACCCACACACCCCCTATGCACACAGGCCTCCCCCCACCCCCCACACACATACACAGTGCATTTGTACCTAGGCATCGGTAGGGCACCACGATGTGCAGGTGACTGCGGCACTGCTTGCGGCCCTTCTTGCACCAGTTCTGGATGCTGACTGGCTGGTTGGCCTCCACCACGTTGGTGATCTGCAGCTCAGGGTACACCTGGGAGAGAAGAAACACGGTGTCTGTCTATCATCATCATCATCATCTCCTTTCACCCCCCCATCCCATTTTCTATCTATGATTGATCTCTCCCTCTCCTCCTCCCTCTCTTCCACATCATCACCCATCTGTCCCACCATCCGTTCACAAGGTGGTGAGCACTCTCTCTTTCGCTCTCTCCCAATCACTGTTCATCCACATCCTCCCATCTGTCCCTACCATCCGGTCCTAGCCCTCTCTCTTTCTTACTCTCTCCCCCTCTCTCTATATCCCCCTCCCCCTCTGTTCATTGTTCTCGGTTCTTCTCTAATCCACCTCTCCAAGTATTACTTCTCTGTTTCGCTCCTCTCATCCAATTACTTCACTAACTCACTCCACCCCTCCTTTCCTGCCTTTAAATTGGTTTATCATTTATCCACCGTTTCCCTGACCCAATTCTTCTCAATCTCCATTTTAACAACAGCACTACTCTCCAACTCCTCTCTATGCACATTCCTTTCTGATGTCTCTTTCTCTCCCTCCCTCCCTTTAGTTTTTTTTATTTATTCATCAAACAATTCAGAGTTCAACTGTATTGTGCCATGTAAATAATTACATTTACTTGAGCTTGAACCCTCCCTCTCCCCCTTCTCCCTAACCCTACCACCTGGCAATACATGTCTCTTTTTCCCTACTCCCTCTCTCTTCCCCCATGTCCTCTCCTCTCCTCTCTCTCTCTCGCTCCCCCCCCCCCCCCCCGGCAATATTGCAGGGTGCCGATTTGGCTCTTGATCCTTCTCCTTTAGCTCCTCCCTCCCCCTAACGCTACCACCTTCCCTCCCCCCTAGCTCCTGGCAATACGTAGCTCTTGATACATGCCTCTACCCCCCCCCCCTTCTCCTCCTACCTCCGGGCAGTCCTGGTTGATGCCAAAGCCACCCTTTCTACTCCCTCCTTCTCTTCTCTCCTCCCTCTCTTCCTACGAGTACTGCAGGATGCCGATACATCCCTCTCTCATTCCCCTCCTTGTCCCTTCTCCCCCATGTGTGTTCTCACATTCCAGTATTTTTGCATTGCATTTTGTATTATAGTGTATTGATAGTGTATAGGTCCCGTGTGGCTCAGTTGGTAGAACATGGCACTTGCAACGCCAGGGTTGTGGGTTCGAATCCCACGGGGAACCAGTACGAACGAATATGAAAATGTATGCACTCACTACTGTAAGTCGCTCTGGATCAGAGGGTCTGCTAAATGACGTAAATGTGTATTTAGTATGGTGACCTAACAAAATAAAATGTCCATTTATATGGACATTAAAGTAGCTTCCTCTGTAGCTTAGTTGGTAGAGCATGGCGCTTGCAACGCCAGAATACTACTACTACTAATAATAAGGTGGGTGCTTACATTTGTCCTATTTCATACATGTACATGTGTGTATTATACGCATGTTGGAATTTCTCGGAGAGTGCCATTATTGATGGCGACCCTGGAGCAATTAGGGTTAAGTGCTTTGCTCAAGGGCACGTCAACAGATTTTTCACCTAGTCGGCTCAGGGATTCGAACCAGCGACCTTTTGGTTACTGGCCCAACACTCTTAAAGGGATACTTCGGGATTTTGGCAATGAGGCACTTTATCTACTTCTCCAGAGTCAGATTAACTCGTGGATACCATTTTAATGTCTCTGCGTCCAGTATGAAGGAAGTTAGAGGTAGTTTCGCAAGCCAATGCTGACTAGCGTGTAGCGCAATGACTGGAAGTCTATGGGTATCTGCTAAAATGTTTAGACGCATGACTGTAAGTCGCCTTTGGATAAAAGCGTCTGCTAAATGGCATACATTATATTATTATATATTAAGGTATTGTATCGTATCATATCGTATCCAACCCCAATCTCCATACCTCCTGACAGTACTGCAGGATGCCCTCCTTGGTGCCGATACAGCTCTTGGTGCCGGAGGGGTCCGACTCCCACTTGCCGCTCTGGACATCCACGTGCATGTTGAGCTTCCCACAGAACATGGCCACCTGGGGCTCCGCCAGCAGGCCCATCCCACCGTCCGTCGGCACCTTGAGAGGAGGGAGGGGAGGGGAGGTGAAGGGAGGAGAGACAAAAAGAGAATTGTTCATTTACTCTCGTTCTATAGTATTACAATTTGCCAATGGCAGCTATACAGGTAGGCATGTGCGAGAAGAAGTGAGAAACCCAAATGGTCAGCAAAAAATACTTGATACAACATTTTACTAAATAGGTTATTTTCATTTAACTTGTATTTATACAGGTTACTGTCATTGTTGTTTGCTAGGGACCCTTATTCAAGATGGCAGCAGTTTCTAACATAAGCTCCACAAATAATTGGCAAATCATGACACATAGAACAATATAATACAAAGAAGGTTTATAAATACATTTTCATAAAAAACATAATAATGATGTAGAGATGGGATGGACAGAAGGAAGAGGAATGGAAGATTGGAGAAAAAACTGAAAATGTGTAAGAAAGGGAGGGAATGGGGTAATGATTAAAGAAGAAAAGTGGGAGAGGAAGGAATAAGAGGAGAACAACGATGGGAAAATAGGGGGAAGATGACTTGAGGTGTTAGCGGGGAAAAGACAAAGGGTTGAGGGAGGAGATATAGGCCCCTTTATTAGTGCACTACTTTTGACCACGGCCCAATAGAGTGCCCTTTGGGATGCAGGCACAGATTAGAGTTTGGGTGCCGTTTCAGGCATTGACTTGTTACATCAATGAGGCTCCGGTGTGAGGTTTCCCCTCAGTACAGATCTAGGATCAGCTTCCCCTCCCCCAATCCTAACCTTAACGATTTGTGGGGGAAATACAAAACTGACCCAAGATCAGCGTCCTAGGGGCAAATTCACACTACACCCATCAATGGTAAAAGGAGAGGCTTTCTTTGAGGAGCTTTGATGGTGAGAGAAAGGATTTCTCTACTGTAGACTTCCCTACTGAATTGTGATTGACAAACCCATAGCACCACTGCAGTCTCTTACGAAACGTCCCCAAACCTATCAAGCTTTTACACACGCACGCAGGCACATTGGACTGCATGCACGCACAGCACACACATAGACACAAACACACATGCACGTATCCTCGATATCCCACAGGTGGCAGCACTGAGAAAGAACATGTACTGTAGTATGCCAGCCTGCCAAAGGGTATGCATGCTTGGCTTGGCTCACGTGTGTGTGTGCCTTTGTTGTCCATCCAATGCCTATTCACAGGTACTAATGATATTATGTAACTGTATCGATGTGTGTACATGTATCTCTGCGAGTATGTGAGTGTGTGTTTGTGCATATGTGTGTCCATAAGGAGGTTTTATAATGAGAATCCTGTAAGAAAGGAGGTGGGGACAAACGAAAGACTGAAAGACAGCATTGTACTAGGGAATGAGAGAGAGAGAGGAGAGAAAGAGAGACTGTTTGCATTGTGTTTTTCTATAATCTTGTTAGTGGTTTGGCAGTAAAACAAATGTTTGTGAAGTCGAGGATGACATACTGTGAATGGACTTGATTCTCTTCTGAGCTAATGCACAATGTAATCCTTATCCACATACACACACACACACACATTCACACAGACACACGCACACGCCCATTCATATGCACACACACTCAGTGCACTGTGCATGCCCACATTCTGGCATGCACGTCTACACACACAAAAACGAAACTCACACAAACACACACTCGGACAGATCAGATTGCAGTGTAGTTCTATGAGGGATGGATGTGTCGCCTAAAGAAATTCATGTCCTTAACGCCAACCTGCTAGGCCACATGCCCTAGCGCCATGCAAATCCCTCACACACATACAGGTTGTGAAATCCTCTCCTCGGTCTCTTAGCACGAGGCCAGCAAAGCTAACACCCTGCCATCTGTAATGAGGGAAGTAACCTAACGTAGCAGGCGTAACATAAATGCCTGAGCGGTGTTTCTTTCTTTTTGGTCCTGACGAGAAACAATCTACTGTTGGGAGAGGTTCTGTTCAACCAACGCAGTAAATGTGGAGGAGTTAAGAAGGAGTGTCGCCTTGTTAATGTCCAAAAGCGGAAGTCGCGTCAAAGGCTCGCTTTCCATTTCCCCTGAAAACCGGATACATCCAGTTGTATACAGACCCCGCAGAGGGTGTGAGGGAGGTGACATAGGAACCGGGACCCAATTCCTACACTGCCATCTGGGAGCCGGAGAGGGGATGCTTAGGGGTGGAGGATCAACTCCCCACACAACTCTCAAAGTGCAGGGTTAAAGGGATTCTGTAAGATTCCAAGATTTAGGTCGTTTTTCTACTTACTTCGACGAACTCATGGATACCATTTTTATGTCTCTGCGTGCAGTTTGGAAATTATTGAAGTTAGCATATCGCTAGCTTAGGGCAATTGCTAGAAGTCTCCCGGTACAATAGCCAGCGCCTCTCAAAAGCAGGGAAATAGACCTTCCAACTACTCCAAAGCTGGGTGGTTGGTCATATATAGTCTTTCAAAGCTATATATAGTAATCAATATTTTATAAATTCATAAATTTGACTGATAATCATAAACGAGATAATCATAATCCACTTCCTCATTCTTTGTCCCATTGTCGTATAGAGATTGCAGTGTTGTAATATGTCTCAATGGAGCGGCCCGTGCATTCACAGACGCCATAATGCGATAGATAGAACGTTGCTGGCAGAGACATAAAACTGGTATCCATGAGTTTGTCTGACTTTGAGAATCAATAAGTGAGTCCCAATAATCTCTCCATCCTCCCAAATTGTGCACTTCCCTTCATAGATTTGAAAGGAAATTATTGGTATATAGAAACACCCTCTAGCCCATGTCTATACCAATCCAATGCTTCAGGAGGAAGGATATATTATTGGGATGCACTCAGGAACCGGGTCGAAATTCAATTTCCAACTCATAGACTGGTTGCCCGTTGATAAGCAGTAAGCACAGACCAGAGTCGTATTCATTAAGGCACACCGTAGAAAAACTTTTTGCAACGGAAAACGACAATGAGTGTTTCTTATTGGACAACTTCGGGAAGTCATTCCGCGTTTCAGTCAGTTTTTCGATTTGGTGCAAAATGATCATGACCCTAGAGGCAGTTTTGTGCTTAATGGTTAAGGTCCAGGACACTGTGCAACTGGGTGCTGGACTTCCTGATGGGCCGACCCCAGGTGGTAAAGGAAGTTTGCAGACAACAGTGGCAGGCCTGATTACCAACAATTACGAAATAGCCTACAGGGAGGAGAGGGCCCTGGCAGTGTGGTGAAAAAGGCGCAACAGTGCCTCTTCAACCTCAGGAGGCTGAAAAAATTCGGCTTGGCACCTAAGACCCTCAAAAACGTATACAGATGCACCATTGAGAGCATCCAGTCAGGCTGTATCACCACCTGGTATGGCAATTGCACTGTCCACAACCACAGGGCTCTCCAGAGGGTGGTGCGGTCAGCCCAACACATCACTTGGGCCACACTGCCTGCCCTCCATGACATCTACAGCACCAGGTGTCACAGGAAGGCCAATAAGATCAGCAAGGAGTCAGGACCTTAGCCACCGGAGCCAAGGCCTGTCCACCCCGCTACCATCTAGAAGGTGGAGACAGTACAGGTGCATCAAAGCTGGGACTGAGAGACTGAAAAACTGCTTCTACAATAGAAGTCGGAAGTTTACATACACTTAGGTTGGAGTCATTAAAACTTGTTTTTCAACCACTCCACAAATTTCTTGTTAACAAACTATAGTTTTGGCAAGTCGGTTAGGACATCTACTTTGTGCATGACACAAGTCATTTTTCCAACAATTGTTTACAGACAGATTATTTCACTTATAATTCACTGTATCACAATTCCAGTGGGTCAGAAGTTTACATACACTAAGTTGACTGTGCCTTTAAACAGCTCGGAAAATTCCAGAAAATGATGTCATGGCTTTAGAAGCTTCTGATAGGCTAATTGACATTAAAGGCCTACCTTCAAACTCAGTGCCTCTTTGCTTGACATCAGGGGAAAATCAAAAGAAATCAGCCAAGACCTCAGAAAAATAATTGTAGACCTCCACAAGTCTGGTTCATCCTTGGGAGCAATTTCCAAATGCCTGAAGGTACCACGTTCATCTGTACAAACAATAGTACGCAAGTATAAACACCATGGGACCACGCAGCTGTCATACCGCTCAAGAAGGAGACGTGTTCTGTCTCCTAGAGATGAACGTACTTTGGTGCGAAAAGTGTGAATCAATCCCAGAACAACAGCAAAGGACCTTGTGAAGATGCTGGAGGAAACAGATACAAAAGTATCTGGGACAATGACCCCAAACATACTTCCAAAGTTGTGGCAAAATGGCTTAAGGACAACAAAGTCAAGGTATTGGAGTGGCCATCACAAAGCCCTGACCTTAATCCTATAGACAATTTGTGGGCAGAACTGAAAAGGCATGTGCGAGCAAGGAGGCCTACAAACCTGACTCAGATACACCAGCTCTGTCAGGAGGAATGGGCCAAAATTCACCCAACTTATTGTGGGAAGCTTGTGGAAGGCTACCCGAAACGTTTGACGCAAGTTAAACAATTTAAAGGCAATGCTACCAAATACTAATTGAGTGTATGTAAACTTCTGACCCACTGGGAATGTGATTAAATAAATAAATCATTCTCTCTACTATTATTCTGACATTTCACATTCTTAAAATAAAGTGGTGATCCTAACTGACCTAAGACAGGGAATTTTTACTAGGATTAAATGTCAGGAATTGTGAAAAACTGAGTTTAAATGTATTTGGCTAAGGTGTATGTAAACTTCCGACTTCAACAGTATGCTGAGCACTTGTTGGCTGCTTTTCCTTCACTCTGCCGTCTGACTCATCCCATTGTGGAGGCTAGGTCATCTGATGCAGCACTCCATCACTCTCCTCCTTGGTAAAATAGCCCTTACAGAGCCTGGAGGTGTGTTGGGTCATTGTCCTGTTGAAAAACAAATGATAGTCCCACTAAGCCCAAACCAGATGGGATGGCGTATCGCTGCAGAATGCTGTGGTAGCATTGCTGGCTAAGTGTGACTTGAATTCTAAATAAATCACAGACAGTGTCACCAGCTATGCACCCCCACATCATAACACCTCCTCCTCCATGCTTTACGGTGGGAAATACACATGTGGAGATCATCCGCTCACAAAAGACAAAGTGGTTGGAACCAAACATTCTCCAATTTGGACTCCAGACCAAAGGACAGATTTCCACCAGTCTAATGTCCATTGCTCGTGTTTCTTGGCCCAAGCAGGTCTCTTCTTCTTATTGGTGTCCTTTAGTAGTGGTTTCTTTGCAGCAATTTGACCATGAAGGCCTGACTCGCACAGTCCCCTCTGAACAGTTGATGTTGAGATGTGTCTGTGACTTGAACTCTGTGAAGCATTTATTTGGGCTGCAATTTCTGAGGCTGGTAACTCTAATGAACTGATCCTCTGCAGCAGAGGTAACTCTGGGTCTTCCATCCAGCGGTCCTCATGAGAGCCAGTTTTATCACAGCGCTTGATGGTTTTTGCGACTGCACTTGAAGAAACTTTCAAAGTTCTTGAAATGTTCCATATTGACTGACCTTCATGTCTTAAAGTAATGATGGACTGTCGTTTCTCTTTGCTTATTTGGGCTGTTCTTGCCATAATAGGACTTGGTCTTTTACCAAATAGGGCTACTATTCCCCCCCCCCCCCCCCCACCCCCACCCCCACCTTGTCACAACACAACTGATTGGCTCAAACGCATTAAAGAGGAAATAAATTCCACAAATGTACTATTAAGAAGGCTCACCTGTTAATTGAAATGCATTCCAGGTGACTACCTCATGAAGCTGGTTGAGAGAATGCCAAGAGTGTGCAAAGCTGTCATCAAGGCAAAGGGTGGCTATTTGAAGAATCTCAAATATGAAATATATTTTGATTTGTTTAACACTTTTTGTTACTACATGATTCCATATGTTATTTCATTGTAGAATAATAGTGAAGACATCAAAACAATGTAAAAAATACTAAAAATAAAGAAAAACCCTTGAATGAGTAGGTGTGTCCAAACTTTTGACTGGTAGTGTATATCACCAGTAGTACATTTACCTTTCATTCCTTATCTACAATGTTTGTCTGTAATTTCTGTTAATGCATTCAATATTTTATTATTCCAGTCTTTTACCGTTCTCATTGTTAGGAGCGCACAACCTATGCTTGTGAGAAACAAGTTTTGGTTTATTTCATTCCATTTACGAGTTGTCAATTTAGTCATTGTCTTTTGTTTGGAGCACTCCTGTCAATGTTGAGTAAGGACACGCACCTGATTACACGTAGAATTAGGCCTATAGGCTACCTGGCCTGCACGCAAATGTAGGCATTTAAATGTGCTCAATTAGGGATCTGATAGTATTTCTGATTGTCTTAACTCAACACCACTAATGAGCTGTGGAGCTTCTCAAAGTAATGTTTTCTTCACCTCAAACAGCAAGCAAATGAAGTCTGTTTTTACATCCATTGAGAATGACAATAGTTCAATGTACTTGAAAAATCTTTCTAGCGCTCTCCCTTTTGATAACCACTCAGTGTGAAAAGGAAAAATGTCATTCTCTGATCCAGTGGAAACATCATAAAATAGGCCTACCTGATGACCTCTTATCCCTTGCACAAACAGCCTACAGCTATGTCTGTCCCAAGCTCACTGGCGCGGGAAACTGAGGGCCCAAAATATTTTATACAATGCTGTGAGCTTCGGGCCGGACCCAAGTTAATAGTTGATACAATGTTTCAAGGTTGTTGCAGATAGGCCATGCGTGATTTATAGGATATATATATATTTTTTAAAATCAGGATATTTTTTACCTCCAGGCTGCAATGTTTTTATTTGTTGGCTTTATGTATTTGTAAATGGCAATAGAAGTTACTTTTTAGGTTTGTATAATTTTAATTTAGATTTGGATAGAATTTGACTAACCACATGACATAGTTTCAGATCCGAAGACGTTATTATAAATGAAATGAAACAGTTCCACAAAAATGTGCATATGAAAATCATAACTGGCACACAGATCAGTAGAAATGGTCAGATAAATTAGCATTCCACATGCAAAAGGTTGCAGACTCCTTGTGTAGCCTATTACCATCAACTTTAGGAGAGTAACGTCAGAATCGGCGAAAGCCAGCAGGAGGAGGATGGTCGGGTCAGGTTTTTTTATTCTGGTTATCTTGATCTCTGGCTCCCTCTTGTATCATTTGTGTCTTATTTCATCAAACAGTGTACGCAACCAATAAAATTTGATCTAGTAAGGTTTGAGGAAAGGGAAACTGACCCTACCCACTGGGCACAAACTGGTTTAATCAACGTTGTTTCCATGTCATTTCAACAAGAAAATGTGATGACTTTGAATTAACGTGGAAAACTGATTGGATTTGCATTAAGTCATCAACATAAAAGGTTTTTCGGAAATTGTTGTGTGTTTTCACTCAACTTTAAACCTATAACATTTCTGTTGATTTCACATTGAATTCATGTTAGTTGACAACTCAATCAATTGTAAATCAAAACTAGGCGTTGAAATGCCGTCTTCGCCCAGTGGGTAGGTCTGCAGTTAGCTGAAACATCTGCTTGTCAGTCATGTCATTTTTTTTCTGTATATTTACAGTAGTGGAAAGGTACGCCTCCCTTGTGATGTGTGTGCAAGATGAGAATCTTAGTTCTGCTCTATAAGAAATCAATGGTGTAGAACAGGGTTCTCCAACTTCAGCTTTTGATACAGCCCTGCAGTAACTAACAAACCTGATTCAGCTAATTCCGGTCCAGAGAGACAACCTTTTTTGGTTTAATATTTGAATAATGTGCATTACTGCAGGGCTGGATCGAAAGTCTGCACACCCATGATTGGAGTTGGAGAACCCTGGAGTAGATAGGGTCAGATTTGACACAACGCTCCTATACCCACATTATCGTCCCAACCCAAACCATATTGCTTGGATATTGTATTTTCACATGGCTAGTTCCAGTCGCTAAAAGCGAGCTGAGCTGGCCCCATAACATATCTGTTTCCAGCCCAAAGTGAATAGAGGCATAGTTCGCTTGCCATGCCCCACTTAAATCATGCTGGAAAAAAGCAGTTAGTAACAAAAGCAGGCTGGCCATCGTCCCAATCAGTACTCACTGGAAAGCGAGCCAAAAGAGCACAGTTCAGGTTGACACAATAGTGTGAAAAAGGTTATTGTTATAGAAAGACTACGATGACCCAGTTCCACTTTGTGGCAACTGCTGATGTAAAAAGGACTTTAGAATATAATGTGATTGAAATTTGACCCAGTTCCATGTCCCCCCCCCCCCTACTTATCACTTAGATGTTAAGTGTCTTAAATGTGAAGAAATTGGAACAGAGGCCTAGGTGGAGCAATCCCCAATATTGCTTTTAGACCTACCCGCTGCTCTGATGTGTGAACACTAAAGGGATATTGCTCTCTCTCCCTCGCACTTTCTCTCAACCACTTCCAGTATTCAAAATCACCTCATCTGTTTTTGCCTTGTAAATCATGTCCTTCCTCTATTCCCTCTCTTCTCCATCCCTCTGCAAACAGTTGGGGGGCAGGCCTGGGGAAGCAGCCAAATCCCACTGCAGTCTTATAAATCAGACTGTTTACATTTACATTTGAGTCATTTAGCAGTTTAGAATGGAAAGGTGAAGAAAGAGAGAGAAAGCAACAAAGCGAGAGACGAAAGAGGGCGGGATACAAATGGACAATGAGGCTTTGTGCGTATGAGGTTCAAGTAAGGTGATGTACGTAAGGTGTATAAACTATGAGCCCCAGTGGAGTAGGGTGAAGTTGCCCCTAGACCCTGATCTTGGGTCAGCTTTGTATTTCCTGGTTAAGGTTAGGATTGGGGGAGGGAAAGCAGATCCTAGATATGTACCTAGGGAAAACTTCACCCTGGAGCACAAACCAGTCGGGAGAGGTAGAACAGTAATGGTTGAGGGGAAATGGTGTACACACATCTAATGGTTTTCCTAGGTGCAGGGTTCAAAACATGAGAGAGAGAAAAGAAAGGAGGGAGAGAGAGAGAAAGCGAAAGAGAAAAATAGAACAGAGGAGTAGTGTACATTATGAGAGGAGACAGGGCATTCCCTGAGCCGCCTGCTCCCTCACTTGCCTCTGCCCACTCTCATCCATCGCCTCGCCAGAATTGCAATCTCATCTATCGGCTGGCCAGCCTGCCGGCAGTAATCTGGGCGGGGGATTACGCTGAGCTGCCTGGCCGAGATATCCCACAGTGGGCCCAATCCACACTGATACCACCCACAGTACCCTCCTGCTGCTGTCACAACAAGATACTCTTCTCTAACTACTGCACCATCGAACTAGATATTGCATGTAAAGTACCCCATATAGGATCATAATGGCGGTAACATAGACCTATGTACTGTTGTCGTAAGCACACCGTAAAAGGCTAATACAGTAGACTTAAGCTTAATTTAAAATGAGGGAAATGCGGGAATAACAGTCCCGGCTCGCAACATCAAGAGTTTTCCCCCACACGGCCAACAAACAATTTATACCTGTGCAATGGTCAACTGCGGCACACCAAATGTAAAGTGATAGCACATCGGGCAAATCTCTGTTAGAATCGGGTAGAAAGGCATTCGACATGCGGCCAGACTGCTCCGAAGTCTAATTCACATATAAGTGGCAGTACTCCCCAATGTAAATCTACCTTAATCCAAAGCTTGGTACTACTGGTGCTAGCCTTACTAGCACAGCACTGGTGGAGACTGCAGTCATCAATCATGCCTTTGGCCCTGGTGCACTGCATTGGTTAATGATCCCAGTTGCACACAGCTCAACCAGCAAAATGTTGATGCCATGGAAACTAGAACACACATCATTACAATAGAGGCGGCCACCGCCTGAAAACACAGGGAAGATTTGCCTCTGTGTGCTACTTCCTAAAAAGTGAGCCATGAAACAGACAGTGTCCGTTTCTGAAAATAAAGCCAGTCAATCCTATACCCACGTATAATCTTTGGACTGCGCCTAGCCAGCTAGTGGCTGGTGCTAGTAGGAACGTACTGTCGACATGCTTACAAATCCACCATAACACAGAGAGAAGATGCCACGCAGACCTGGGTATATTGCATTAACAGAAATTACCGTAACCAAACAAACATTGTGGATTAGAAATTATGGAAATGAATGGTAAATGTACTACTGGTGATACTGGTGTGCCATCCCTGCGGCCTCCGCAATGGATTAGTCCACTGAGACGTGTGTCAATAAATCCGTGCCATAAAAATGTGTTTTTTGTTTTTTTGCAACTGCTCAACAAAAACAATTCTCGGCCGACCAACAGCCTGTCAACCAAACAATCCACCAGTCGACTAAATGGGGTCAGCCCTACACAGGATAAATAAAGTTATTTTGATTGAATTGGATCATGGACGCATTTCAGTCGGGTGACCTCGTTCAGTGACCTATATTGAAACCAGACAAACATACCAGGTCTCTATCACACATGTTTAAGCACATATGATCTTTGCTCCGTATTGTATCTGAGAGCCACATAGACATTGTCTCAGTATTGACTCGTTTGGTTAAACAGAAAACTTGCCTGGTACCTATTGTCCAGTGAGAATGTGTCTCTATGTGTGTATCTCCGTCGCTATGCTATTATTGGTGGGTCACTGACTGTTCCACTAGCTCTACCAATGGGTATAGGGTGCTTCCCATTGGTTTGCAAGGGGATCTCGAGGGTTTTGACCGGGGGTTAATTCTTCTTCTGGCTGGGTCCACCCTCTGCTTTGTCATTCTATTCACATTAGCATGAAAACACACATGCACTCATATGCATAATGTGCATGCACGTGCAGTGTTGTACATACACGCATACACACACACACCGAAGACCAAGTGTATAATATCATTACACACTTGCACGCATGCACACACACACACTTCGATTTAATCCTCCTGGGCCCTGTTCTGTGAACCAGTCCAACAGTCCCGGGGCGACATTAATTGTGGCTGTTGCGGTGAGGTGTTATCAGAGTGTCCCAGGCCTGCCACTGGGATCTGAGATCAGATTTCAGACCTAGGGAGACCCCCTGGCGGCGCAAGTGTCGCCTGAGATCAGCAATTATGTCTGGAGAGTGTACGGACACAGGAGAGTCTGGAGAGTGTCCTCTGCCTGTCTCTACCCACCAGAGACACAGAGTGCATCCGAAATGGCACCATATTCCCTATGTAGCGCACTACTAGTGTACCACTCTATGGTCTGTTTAGCTCCCTGGCTGTGTTTGAAATGGGCTCTGGTCAAAAGCTGTGCACTTTAAAGGGAATAGGACGCCATTTTAGATGCAGCCAGGCCGTATAGAGAAAGAGAAGACACATCAACAATGACTGGGGAGGAAAGAGAAATAGCCAGAGGCCTTGTATAAAAACATTGACAGACTGACTTATTCTAGGTGCTGGGTCATATTCATTAAATACCAAAATGGGAGAAAACAGACAGAAAAAGGAAGGACCTAAACTTGTCCAATAAGAAATGCTTATTTTGCTTTCAGTTCCAAAAACATTTTGCTATGTTTTACACCAATGGAGCAGTGGTTTAAAGTAAATAAGTAAAAATGATTTGAATACTACTTAAGTCATTTTCTTGGGCATCTTTACTTTACTATTTACACTACCGTTCAAAAGTTTGGGGTCACTTAGAAATGTCCTTGTTGTCCATGAAAACATACATTAAATTAGTTTGAATATGAATAGGAAATATAGCAAAATGAATAGGAAATGTAGTCATTGACAAGGTTAGAAATAATGATTTTTAATTGAAATAATAATTGTGTCCAAACTTTGCTTTCGTCAAAGAATCCTCCATTTGCAGCAATTACAGCCTTGCAGACCTATGGCATTCTAGTTGTCAATTTGTTGAGGTAATCTGAAGATATTTCACCCCATGCTTCCTGAAGCACCTCCCACAAGTTGGATTGGCTTGATGGGCACTTCTTACGTATCATACGGTCAAGCCGCTCCCACAAGAGCTCAATAGTGTTGAGATCCGGTGACTGTGCTGGCCACTCCATCATAGACAAAATACCAGCTGACTGCTTCTTCCGTAAATAGTTATTGCATAGTTTGGAGCTGTGCTTTGGTCATTGTCCTGTTGTAGGAGGAAATTGGCTCCAATCAAGTGCCGTCCACAGGGTATGGCATGGCGTTGCAAAATGGAGTGATAGCCTTCCTTCTTCAAGATCCCTTTTACCCTGTACAAATCTCCCACTTTACCACCACCAAAGCACCCCCAGACCATCACATTGCCTCCACCATGCTTGAAAGATGGCATCAAGCACTCCTCCAGCATCTTTTCATTTGGTCTGTGTCACACAAATGTTCTTCTTTGTGAGCCGAACACCTCAAACTTCAATTTGTCTGTCCATAACACTTTTTTCCAATCTTCCTCTGTCCAGTGTCTGTGTTCTTTTGCCCATCTTAATCTTTTCTTTTTATTGGCCAGTCTGAGATATGGCTTTTTCTTTGCAACTCTGACTAGAAGGTCAGCATCCCGGAGTCGCCTTTTCACTGTTGACGTCGAGACTGGTGTTTTGCGGGTACTATTTAATGAAGCTGCCAGTTGAGGACCTGTGAGGTGTCTGTTTCTCAAACTAGACATTCATGTATTTGTCCTCTTGCTCAGTTGTGCACCGGGGCCTCCCACTCCTCTTTCTATTCTGGTTAAAGCCAGTTTGTGCTGTTCTGTGAAGGGAGTAGTACACAGCGTTGTACGTGATCTTCAGTTTCTTGGCAATTTCTCGCATGGAATAGCCTTCATTTCTCAGAACAAGAATAGACTGACGAGTTTCAGAAGAAAGTTATTTGTTTCTGGCTATTTTGATTCTGTAATCAAACCCACAATTGCTGATGCTCCAGATATTCAACTAGTCTCAAGAAGGCCAGTTTTATCGCTTCTTTAATCAGCACAACAGTTTTCAGCTGTGCTAACATAATTGCAAAAGGGTTTTCTAATGATCAATTAGCCTTTTAAAATGATAAACTTGGATTAGCAAACACAGCGTGCCATTGGAACACAGGACTGATGGTTGCTGATAATGGGCCTCTGTACGCCTATGTAGATATTCCATAAAAAATCAGCCGTTTCCAGCTACAATAGCCATTTACAACATTAACAATGTCTACACTGTATTTCTGATTAATTTGATGTTATTTTAATGGACAAAAAAACAAGGACATTTCTAAGTGACCCAAAACTTTTGAACAGTAGAGTATATTTTGGACTACTTTTACTTATATTCCACTACATTCCTACAGAAAATATGTACTTTTTACTCCCATACATTTTCCCTGACACCCAAAAGAACTCGTTACATTTCGAATGATCAGGCAGGACAGCAATATTGTCCAATTCACGCACCCATCATCCCTACTGCCTCTGATCTGGTGGACTAACTAACCACAAATATTGTGTTTGTGAATGATCTCTGAGTGTTGGAGTAAGGTATCTTTACTTTTACTCAAGTATGACAATTTAGTACTTTTTCCACCACTGCCCTGGAGGACATAGAACCTTATTCTGTTTGGAATACCGGTTGGACACTATGGGAAACTAGTTCGGAAGGATATCAGTGATGACTGAATTAGATAAGACTGGAGATAAGACCGGCAGAATGATACAGAGAGACGTGAACAGGCAAGCACACGTACACATACATTCACTAATAATTAGCAAAGCAGGGCCTGCTGTGACTTAAACCCCTGGCCTGAGCTCATCTTTGAACCCTATCAGTGTGTGTGTGTGTGTGTGTGTGTGAGAGAGAGTGTCCATGCATGAGAGTGTGTAATGGTACATGTGCCTGGTCTTTGGAGTGGGTGAGTGAGAGTGTGTGTTTGTGTGTGTGTACATATGCTTGCGTGTTTATGAGTGTGTGTGTAATGCGATCTGTGCTGGTCTCTGGGACCGGATCCTCGGGTGGGTTGGGTGTGGGAGTGTGTTACAGTGATTAGAGGGCAGTCAGCCCTCGTTTCTCATCACATCCTGCCTGCCAACATTCCAATTACACCCTGCAGCAGGAACGGAAGACTGGTTGTCGTGGCCATCGCCATGACGATGACGTCTATTCCCATCTGGTCGAGATATGCTACTGTGTCCCTATGACGACACTTGACAACCTCATCGCCAAGCAATACGACTGGCTGTAACGTGACAACATTTTGAAAAAGTCAAGGGGTATGAATACGTTCCGAATGTATGTCAAATCAAATTGTATTTGTCGCATACACGTGTTTAGCAGATGTTATAGCGGGTGTAGCGAAATGCTTGTGCTTCTAGCTCCGACAGTGCAGTAATATCTAACAAGTAATATCTAACAATTTCACAACATACAGTGAGGGAATTAAGTATTTGATCCCCTGCTGATTTTTGTACGTTTTCCCACTGACAAAGACATGATCAGTCTATAATTTTAATGGTAGGTTTATTTGAACAGTGAGAGACAGAATAACAAACAAAAAATCCAGAAACACGCATGTCAAAAATGTTATAAATTGATTTGCATTTTAATGAGGGAAATAAGTATTTGACCCTATGCAAAACATGACTTAGTACTTGGTGGCAAAACCCTTGTTGGCAATCACAGAGGTCAGACGTTTCTTGTAGTTGGCCACCAGGTTTGCACACATCTCAGGAGGGACTTTGTCCCACTACTCTTTGCAGATCTTCTCCAAGTCATTAAGGTTTCGAGGCTGACGTTTGGCAACTCGAACCTTCAGCTCCCTCCACAGATTTTCTATGGGATTAAGGTCTGGAGACTGGCTAGGCCACTCCAGGACCTTAATGTGCTTCTTCTTGAGCCACTATTTTGTTGCCTTGGCCGTGTGTTTTGGGTCATTGTCATGCTGGAATACCCATCCATGACCCATTTTCAATGCCCTGGCTGAGGGAAGGAGGTTCTCACCCAAGATTTGACAGTACATGGCCCCGTCCATCGTCCCTTGATGCGGTGAAGTTGTCCTATCCCCTTAGCAGAAAACACCCCCAAAGCATAATGTTTCCACCTCCATGTTTGACGGTGGGGATGGTGTTCTTGGGGTCATAGGCAGCATTCCTCCTCCTCCAAACACGGCGAGTTGAGTTGATGCCAAAGAGCTCGATTTTGGTATCATCTGACCACAACACTTTCACCCAGTTCTCCTCTGAATCATTCAGATGTTCATTGGCAAACTTCAGACGGGCCTGTATATGTGCTTTCTTGAGCAGGGGGACCTTGCGGGCGCTGCAGGATTTCAGTCCTTCGCGGCGTAGTGTGTTACCAATTGTTTTCTTGGTGACTATGGTCCCAGCAGCCTTGAGATCATTGACAAGATCCTCCCATGTAGTTCTGGGCTGATTCCTCACCGTTCTCATGATCATTGCAACTCCACGAGGTGAGATCTTGCATGGAGCCCCAGGCCGAGACAGTTATTTTGTGTTTCTTCCATTTGCGAATAATCGCACCAACTGTTGTCACCTTCTCACCAAGCTGCGTGGCGATGGTCTTGTAGCCCATTCCAGCCTTGTGTAGGTCTACAATCTTGTCCCTGACATCCTTGGAGAGCTCTTTGGTCTTGGCCATGGTGGAGAGTTTGGAATCTGATTGATTGATTGCTTCTGTGGACAGGTGTCTTTTATACAGGTAACAAACTGAGATTAGGAGCACTCCCTTTAAGAGTGTGCTCCTAATCTCAGCTCGTTACCTGTCTAAAAGACACCTGGGAGCCAGAAATCTTTCTGATTGAGAGGGGGTCAAATACTTATTTCCCTCATTAAAATGCAAATCAATTTATAACATTTTTGTTGTTATTCTGTCTCTCACTGTTCAAATAAACCTACCATTAAAATTATAGACTGATCATTTCTTTGTCAGTGGGCAAACGTACAAAATCAGCAGGGGATCAAAAACTTTTTTCCACACTGTATGTATGTACGTACAGTGCCTTATTCATCCCCCTTGGCGTTTTTCCTATTTTGTTTCATTTCAACCTGTATTTTAAATGGATTTTTATTTGGATTTCATGTAATGGACATACACAAAATAGTCCAAATTGGTGAAGTGGAATGAAAAAAATTACTTGTTTCAAAAAAAAAAAATACAATATATTACGGAAAAGTGGTGCTTGCATATGTATTTACCCCTTTTGCTATGAAGCCCCTAAATAAGATCTGGTGCAACCAATTACCTTCAGAAGTCACATAATTAGTTAAATAAAGTTCACCTGTGTTCAATCTAAGTGTCACATGATCTGTCACATGATCTCAGTATATATATATATACACACACCTGTTCTGAAAGGTCCCAGAGTCTGCAACACCACTAAGCAAGGGGCACCACCAAGCAACTGGCACCATGAAGACGAAGGAGCTCTCCAAACAGGTCAAGGACAAAGTTGTGGAGAAGTACAGATCAGGGTTGGGTTATAAAATAATATCTGAAACTTTGAACATCCCACGGAACACCATTAAATCCATTATTATAAAATGGAAAGAATATGGCACCACAACAAACCTGCCAAGAGAGGGCCGCCCACCAAAACTCACGGACCAGGCAAGGAGGGCATTAATCAGAGAGGCAACAAAGAGACCAAAGATAAACCTAAAGGAGCTGTAAAGCTCCACAGCGGAGATTGGAGTATCTGTCCATAGGACCACTTTAAGCCGTACACTCCACAGAGCTGGGCTTTACGGAAGAGTGACCAGAAAAAAGCCATTGCTTAAAGAAAAAAATAAGCAAACATGTTTGGTGTTTGCCAAAAGTCATGTGGGGACTCCCCAAACATATGGAAGAAGTTACTCTGGTCAGATGAGACTAAAATTGAGCTTTTTGGCCATCAAGGAAAACGCTATGTCTGGCGCAAACCCAACAACTCTCATCACCCCGAGAACAGCATCCCCACAGCATGATGCTGCCACCACCATGCTTCACTGTGGGGATGTTTTTCCATCGGCGGGGACTGGGAAACTGGTCAGAATTGAAGGAATGATGAATGGCGCTAAATACAGGGAAATTCTTGAGGGAAACCTGTTTCAGTCTTCCAGAGATTTGAGACTGGGACGGAGGTTCACCTTCCAGCAGGACAATGACCCTAAGCATACTGCTAAAGCAACACTTGAGTGGTTTAAGGGGAAACATTTAAATGTCTTGGAATGGCCTAGTCAAAGCCCAGACCTCAATCCAATTGAGAATCTGTGGTATGACTTAAATATTGCTCTACACCAGCGGAACCCACCCAACTTGAAGGAGCTGGAGCAGTTTTGCCTTGAAGAATGGGCAGAAATCCCAGTGCTAGATGTGCCAAGCTTATAGAGACATACCCCAAGAGACTTGCAGCTGTAATTGCTGCAAAAGATGGCTCTACAAAGTCTTGACTTTGGGGGGGTGAATAGTTATGCACGCTCAAGTTCAGTTTTTTGGTCTCATTTCTTGTTTGTTTCACACACAAAAATATTTTGCATCTTCAAAATGGTAGGCATGTTGTGTAAATCAAATGATACAACCCCCCCCCAAAAAAATAATTTTAATTCCAGGTTGTAAGGCAACAAAATAGGCAAAATGCCAAGGGGGTGAATACTTTTGCAAGCCACTGTATGTTCCATTACTGTATACCGTCACACACACATACACACACAGTAGACTATACGTCCTCCTGCGTCACACAAATACAGGAAACCCACCCAAGGTAATGGTGGGGACAAGGAAACAGGAACTGAGAATAGCAGGGCACAGCCAAGAAACAAAGAGGACCTTTTAGATATATTTATTTCAAAACAACAGCAGACTATAATCAACAACGCAATTTTGAGCAAACTGATTAAATCGAAGCCCAAATCAACACTTAGACCAGCACTGATTCGATTCTGCAAATGTCAGGTCATAGTTGATTGAAACCGTTGTAAAGCGATACACATATAATAACTCCCTTAACAGTACATGTAGCAATAAATATACATAAGGCCAATATACAGAGGGACACTGTCGAGGGTTGAGTGAGAGAAGCGTTTGCCTGTCTTAGAGAAAAAGGCAGTAAAAAGAAAGAAGAGAAATAAGGAGGGAATGAAAGGGAGGAATGGGAGCAAGAGCAGATATTGAACGAGGGACTGTTGCTTCTGAAGAAAAAGTCAGTGAATTTGTTTTTTTTTTTAAAGAAGGGAGGAATGAAAGGAAGAAAGCATGAGAGAGCAGAGACAGGAATATCTCTGGGAGGCGGCGCTCTAATTATAGCGCGGGTGCTAGGAGACGGGGGAGGGCACCTCCGCCACCAAAACACAGGAGAAGGAGGGAAGAGGGGGATAAGGAGGGAGGAGAGGAGGTGGGCAGGGAGCGTAGCTCAATCATTTCGAAGAGACCCAACAACACGGGAGAAGGAGGGATAATTGATGAGGGGAGGAATAATTGCTCAATTCCAAATCAACCCCTAGCCCCCTACTCCCTATCCACTCCTGTCGATCTGAGAGGATTGGATGGTTAGATCGGTGGAATTAATATGCCAATATTTACACCATAGCAAAATGAAGGTAAAAGTAAGCTATTACCAATACCTACCAAATTCTTTCAGAAATAATCAGATCTACAGGAGTGTCTAGGTGTGTAGCCTGAAAATACATGTTTTACACTATTTATTTGATTGCTTTGGGAGACATTTGGTCAAGTAGGACAAGTCAATCAAGAATAAAGGAGGCTGACTGAAGAAGGAGTGGCCATTTTGTAGTCAGAGGGACTAGGGTGCAGCATAATTCCTAAGACACATGCTGCTGTGTTTGTGTATTGGCGTTGGTGTCGAGCGAGCGAGCATGCGTGTGTAACTGTCTGAGTGTGTGTCAGGAGCACGTTGCCATCAGACTTTATTATTAATTAATATATCCACGTGCGCTCAATCAACGGGTCACACCGATCACTGTCCCATACGTCGATGTACATCACATTGACCTTACTGCCCTCCCTCTTTTTCTCTCTCCATCTTGCTCTTACTTTCTGCAGCTGTATGTTAACGGTGGACTATGTCTGCGTCCCAAATGGCACTGTACTCCCTATGTAGCGCGCTACTTTTGACCAGAGCACTATTGGAAAGGTGACATAAGGAATAGGTTGCCA